CGGCGGCGGCGTGCAGCTCGGACCCCGGAGTCACCCCCCCCAAAGACAGCGCCCAGCTGCCCTGCCCATCCCTACCTCGGACCAGGATCCGGCGGCAGTAATCTGGGTCCGCGGCGGAATTGGATTTACTTTTGTTGCAATCCTCCGCAGCGCCCGACGCGGAGAAGGCGCCCTGGGGCTCCTTGAGGAAGGCGGCTGGGAGGGTCCCCTCCGCGCCCTTGCTCTCGCGACTCTCCTTGTGAGTGTTCTTCGAGACCCGGGCAGCCTCGGCGTCCGAGTGGCATCGAACGTCCATTTTGTCTGGTTTCCCGAACATAGGCAAGAACAAAAAGAAAAAAAAAAAAGAAAAAGAAGGGGGGGGGAGAGGAAAAAAGAGGCAAAGGGGGGACAAAACCCCGACAACGCGGCCCCTACGCCCAGCCCGGCGAGAGGCAGGCGGCAAGAATGAATGTCCCCGCGGGGCGGCTTCGGCGGCCGCGGGCGGGTCAGCGGCGACAGAAGAGTGGCGTGCTCGCCGAGAGACGGCCGGTCTGGTCCAGGATCCCGGTGGAGCAGCGGCGAGGCCGCCTCGTCAGCGCCCGCGTCCTCTGAGCACGTCCAGTGTCCCCAGCCTGGCGATCAGGTAGCGAACAGCGCAACTCCGAAATGCTGCGGCTCCCGCCTGTTACTGAGACGGCGAGTTGTAGTTGTCCGACACCCGGGGGGACGCACACTCGCTGCTGCAATTGATTACGGGTAATTTCGCAGCCCCCACGTTTCGGTTACCTCATGAATACACTAAATTGTTTGGATAATATATCAGATCGTAATGGATGGTTTCTGTCCTTGTCCCCAATCAAGTAGGGGTTTAGCCAGTGAATAAACGGAAATGATTGGTCTTGCTTTCAGGAAACACACAATCAAAGACCCACACTTCCAGAAAAACTTTTGACAAGATTCATCCTGAATTGTTAGTACCATTAACAGGCATTATTAACTTTCCCTTTGCCTTTGACCCTCCTGCTCACATACTGGCTAGAGGGGTTTTCTCCACACTGGCCAGATAGAGCTGGAGGGGGGAGGGGGGAGCCCTTACACACCCTGAAGCAGAAGAAAGCAGTTGTCTGGGATGGTGGGCGGAAGAGGGAAGGAGAAAAAGTTTTCCCAAAAAGTCTCTCTCGCTCACACTCCCAAAAGCCAAGCTTTCTCCCCAAACGAGTCCTGCTTAACACACCTCGATGCAGACTGCCATCTTAAACTGCCACCTCTCTTCATTTAGTTCCAGTTGGATTTTTTCATGCCTGCACCTCCAGCAGCCCTGAGGCAGCCCATTCAAAGGGCAGCTTTGTACTCAGAGAGTCCAGCAGGAGAGAGAGGGGGGGAGAGAGAGAGAGAGCCGAGAAAATCTCAACTGTGAGATCTGCTTCAAAAAAAAAAAAAAGTTTTCCCCTAGCTATTTCATTGTCTCTGCTACAATATCTTTGAGAAAAGCAACAGCCAGTAATCCAATAAGAGCATTGATTAGGCTACAATGATTCAATTCAAGCGCATGGCCTTGTGCAAGGAGCATGCTCCAGCCCTTCTCGTCACCTTGCCGGGGCAGAAGCCCTCTCCACGCCGCTCTCCCCATTCATTCCTTTATGGGAAATGCGGAGCAAAAGGAGTGAAAGATGGCAATTATCTAATTGGACTATTAACAAACAGTCCTCTGAGTGCGGCGGTCTGGCGTGGCTCCTGGGCGGGGGAAGGGCCGTGTTCCCTGCCCTCATTCACAAAGAGTGCAGGGGCCGGGGAGGAGAGGGGGCTTTTTAAAGGGGGTGGGGGCACAGAGGAGAGGTGGGAGGTTTGGCTGAGAATTTTTCCACACAATTCCAAGAATGGG